TGTGATTATGTGGGTTAACGCATGTATGAAGATGGGATGTGTGGTTGTGAAGAAATCTAAAATGGATCCATATTAGTTCTGTGTAAGAATGATTTTGAATGGTGGGAATGTTGCCCAAGAGGGCTGTGGGAATGTTTTTCTTTTAGCCAGTACTGCCAAGACAAGACAAGAAGACCAGACACTTGTTATGGAAGAGAAGAGAGTACACGGAGGAAAACAACAGCTGCTTTCTCACAAGAAGAGGAGGGGTTACTTCTACCACCTTGCGTCGTGATTGGATGACATTGTGGAAGACGAAGAAGACAGGAGGAGTCTAGAAGATAGAAAAATGAAATTTTGCCATGTGCAGTGTTCCTTCTTTTTCCTTTGTTGGAACCAAAGATTTTTCTAGGTCTTTTTTCCTTATGCCCTGTGCTAGGAAAAGGACTTGGGGAATGTAGAGCATTTAAGGAAGGGGGGAGGCTTTGTGCCTTTTAACTACCCTAAGGGAAGCTTTTAGAGATTTTCAGAATTTTCTAATCAAAAGGGAATTAGTTGCCTTAATTGCAGTTGTAACAAGCCTTGGAAATGTATTATTGATATGCTTTTGCATCAAACTGACTTTATTCTATATTTTTTCAATAAAAAAGATAAATTATAAAATATTTTGGTCTCTTGAACAGCATAGCCTGTCACAGCCATTCCCTGAGGAGGGGCAGGCAAGGCCACAGATTGCTATGGAGTCTACTTTATTGAGCTTTAGTAGATTTTAGGACTACAAAGCTCATGTGTATCTTCTTGCTGAACTTAAATAAGTGCAAACAAGTATCTTTTTAGGACAGACTTGTGAGAAGGGGTCTGTAATACTTCCTAGCTGAGGTCACCCGGACTCTACCCAGCTGTTAAAGGGTATTCAGGCTCCCAATTGCTCTCTATCCACCAATTAAGCATGCCCTAACAGGAGGCTGGGTTGTGACAGCAGGGTTTTCAAAGAGACACGATGTAGTAATGATGGGAGATTTCAATTATCCAGATACAGTGGTGCCCCGCATAGCGACGTTAATCCGTTCCAGGATTAATGTCGCTATCCGGAAAAGTCGCTATGCGGGGGTGAACCCTATAGGAACGCATTAAACTCCGTTTAATGTGTTTCTATTGGGAAAAAAACTCACCACTATGCGGGGAATCCTCCATCCGGCCGCCATTTTTGCTGCCTGGTAAGCGAGGGCAGGGCGCGAAAACGGAGCGGGTGGCCATTTTCTTCTTCCGGTGGCCATTTTGGAACTGCCGATCAGCTGTTTCACAAACTTCGCAATGCGAAGATCAGTAAGCAAAACGCTTACCGATCATCGCAATGCGCTGTTTTGCCACCTAAAACATTGCAATGTGATCGCATTAGCGATCGCAAAAAATGCATCGCTATGCAGATTCGTCGTTAAACGGTGCGCTCGTTAAGCGAGGCACCACTGTATATGTTGGAAGGCAAATTCTGCCATATATGCCCCTTCCAAGAAATTCCTGGCTTGTGTGGCTGATAATATTCTCCTACAAAAAGTGGTGAAAGAAACTAGAGGATTTGCTATCCCTGACTTGATTCTGACCAACAAAGATGACTTGGTGGGGAAAGTGGCAGTAAGAGGAACTCTAGGTGAGAGTGACTGTGTACTCACAAGGTAACTGGTTCCACTGTCATACTGTCCTAACAGTTAGGAAGTTATTCAACCAAAAGCTGGCTTCCTTTAACTTGAGTCTATTGTTGCAAGTCCTCCACTCTTGGATGATTGATAACAAATCTTGCCCCTCCTCTGTATGACAGCTTTTGAAATATTTGAAAAATACTATCATATCACCCCCTCAGTCTTCTTTTCTCTAAGCTAAACATGTCCAATTCTTTCATCCTTTCCTCAGAATACTTGGTTTCCAGCCCCCTTATCATCCTTGTCGGCCTCCTCTGAACTTGTTCCAATTTGTTAGCATCCTTCTTGAAATGTGGTGTCAAGAACTGGGCACAATCTTCAAGGTGAAGCCTAACCAATGCTGAATAGAGGGGGACTAGCACCTCATGCCCCTTCATGGATTACTGCCTCGATTTGGCGAACGGGCTTGAGTAACTCAGGGAAGCTATGGGCTATGCTGTGCAGGGACAAAATAGTTGGACAGTCACCAAAGCTACCAACATGAATTTGACCAAACTCGGGGAGGCAGTGGAAGACAGGAGGGCCTGTCGTGCTCTGGTCTATTGGGTCACGAAGAGTTGGACACAACTTAATGACTAAACAACAACAAAGCACCTTATGGGATTTGGAAACTGTACTTCTATTAATGCAGCCTAAAATAGCATTAGCCTTTTTTGTACCCACCTTACACTCTTGGCTCATATTTAGCTTATGATCTATGACAATACCAAGATCTTTCTTGCTCGTAATTTTGCTAAGCCAGGTATCCCCCCCATCTTGTAAATGTGCAATTGGTTTCTTTTTCTGAGGTGCATTACTTTGCACTTTTCCCTGTTGAATTTCATTCTGTTGCTTCTGGCCTACTGCTCTATCCTATTAAGGTCATTTTGAATTTTGTTTCTGTCTTCTAGGATATTAGCTATTCTGCCCAATTTGGTAGCATCTGCAGGTTTGACAAGCATTCCCTGTACTCCCTCATCCAGGTCATTAATAAAAACTTGTTACCTCCTCCCAGTTAGAGAAGGACCCATTAATCATCACCCTCCGAGTATGATTCTGTAGCCAACTGTGTATCCATCTGACACTTGATTAGTTATTTATCACCTAGTTAACTTGCTAATCAGGATATCATGGGCACTTTGTCAACAGCTTTGCTGAAGTCAAAATATACTACAGTGGGGTCTCGACCTACGGACTTAATCCGTATTGGAATGGTGTCCGTAGGTTGAAAAGTCTGTAGGTCGAAAATGCATTCCCCATAGGAATGCATTGAAAACCCATTAATCCGTCCCAGCCCTTTCTTCACTGCTGAAAGCACCATCGGGGCAGCCCTTCGGGAGGAGCCGGGCTGCGAGGAAGGAAGGCAGGAGCCGATCCACTCTTTTCCCCCACCGGGAGGCTTCTCCCAAAGCGCTGCGCCCGATGGTGGGGGGGAAAGATCGGATCGGCTTCAGCCTTCCTTCCCTGCAGCCCGCCTTCTCCCAAAGGGCTGCCCCAATGGTGCTTGCAGCAGCGGAGGAGGTGCCCGGTGGAGGAGAAAGGTCAGATCGGCTCCTGCCTTCTCCCCCACTGGGCAGCTGCTCCAGTGCTGAAATCACCATCGGGCCAACCCTTTGGGAGAAGGCAGGCTGCGGGGAAGGCAGGCTGAAGCCGATCCGATCTTTCCCCCCCACCATCGGGCGCAGCGCTTTGGGAGAAGCCTCCCGGTGGGGGAAAAGAGTGGATCGGCTCCTGCCTTCCTTCCTCGCAGCCCGGCTCCTCCCGAAGGGCTGCCCCGATGGTGCTTTCAGCAGTGAAGAAAGGGCTGGGACGGATTAATGGGTTTTCAATGCATTCCTATGGGGAATGCATTTTCGACCTACAGACTTTTCAACCTACGGACACCATTCCAATACGGATTAAGTCCGTAGGTCGAGACCCCACTGTAGTATATTTTGACTTCAGCAAAGCTGTTGACAAAGTGCCCATGATATCCTGATTAGCAAGTTAACTAGGTGATAAATAACTAATCAAGTGTCAGATGGATACACAGTTGGCCTCGAAAAGTTCGTAAGTGGAGCCATTCGTATGTCGAGACTCCACTGTACGTCTACAGCATTCCCACTGTCTATCAGGGAGCTGACCTGATAAAAAATGAGGTCCAATTAGTTTGGCAGGATTTGTTATTGACAAATCTGTGTTGGCTTCTAGTTATTACTGCCTTGTTTTCTAGGTGCTTCCACAATGACCATTTTATGATGTGTTCGAGAATTTTGCCTGGGATTGATGTCAAGCTGAGTAGGCCAGAAGCAACAGAATGAAATTCAACAGGGAAAAGTGCAAAGTAATGCACCTCAGAAAAAGAAACCAATTGCACATTTACAAGATGGGGGGGATACCTGGCTTAGCAAAATTACGAGCAAGAAAGATCTTGGTATTGTCATAGATCATAAGCTAAATATGAGCCAAGAGTGTAAGGTGGGTACAAAAAAGGCTAATGCTATTTTAGGCTGCATTAATAGAAGTACAGTTTCCAAATCCCATAAGGTGCTTTGTTGTTGTTTAGTCATTAAGTTGTGTCCAACTCTTCGTGACCCAATAGACCAGAGCACGACAGGCCCTCCTGTCTTCCACTGCCTCCCCGAGTTTGGTCAAATTCATGTTGGTAGCTTTGGTGACTGTCCAACTATTTTGTCCCTGCACAGCATAGCCCATAGCTTCCCTGAGTTACTCAAGCCCGTTCGCCAAATCGAGGCAGTAATCCATGAAGGGGCATGAGGTGCTAGTCCCCCTCTATTCAGCATTGGTTAGGCTTCACCTTGAAGATTGTGCCCAGTTCTTGACACCACATTTCAAGAAGGATGCTAACAAATTGGAACAAGTTCAGAGGAGGCCGACAAGGATGATAAGGGGGCTGGAAACCAAGTATTCTGAGGAAAGGATGAAAGAATTGGACATGTTTAGCTTAGAGAAAAGAAGACTGAGGGGGTGATATGATAGTATTTTTCAAATATTTCAAAAGCTGTCATACAGAGGAGGGGCAAGATTTGTTATCAATCATCCAAGAGTGGAGGACTTGCAACAATAGACTCAAGTTAAAGGAAGCCAGCTTTTGGTTGAATAACTTCCTAACTGTTAGGACAGTATGACAGTGGAACCAGTTACCTTGTGAGTTGGTGAGTGCTCCAACACTGGAGGCATTCAAGAAAAAATTAGATAATCACCTGGCAGATACTCTTTGAGTGTATTCCTGCATTGAGCAGGGGGTGGACTTGATGGCCTTGTAGGCCCCTTTCAACTTCACTTTTCTATGATTCTATGATTAAAGGCTTCAAAATGTAAATAAAGTATTTCAAAACACAATACCTCATCAACTGTCATTTTCATCCTTTTTTCCAACTCTTCAGCCACAACTGGAATCTCTTTATTGTCTAAAAGATAATTTGAATATTTATAGTAGATCAGATTATACCTCTTGTAACCTTACTGTTATTTTGCAGAGATTCTTGTTACACAGTCAAGTGAATAAATAAAATTAAATTTAATGTTAATCTTTTTTTAGTATTAAACATTTCCGTTCTATACTGTAAGAGCACTACTGTGCTCATGGATACCCTGATTTTGATTACATATTAAGAAAGACCAAAACACAAACACAACTGGCACCATATGTAATGACCGCAAGACTACTTGTGGTTCCTTGTTACACATGATCACTTGTTCAACTGGGGGGAAATATATCACACCTCCACCAATGTGCTGTCTTCCTCAGCTAATGTCAAACTGGATCTGGAAAATATATAAAAACTATCTTTCTTAAAATGGGATTCCCTTTTTCTTTTATACGATGCTTTGAACCCACCAAAGAGACAGAAAAGTGACTGACATTTGTCAGTTAATGAAGAGAATCAAATTAGTTTCTTTTCTGATATAGTACAGTGGACCCTCGACTTATAGACGGCTTGACTTACAGACTTTTCAAGTTACAGACTTCTCTGGCCACAAAATTTAGGTTTGACTTGCAGCCGGAGAATCGACCTACAGACCAGAAAAAAACCAAAATGGAACAAAAATGGAACAAAAACAGCCGGTTACGAGATTAATTGGTTTTCAATGCATTGTAGGTCAATGGAGACTCGACCTACAGACTTTTCGACCTGCAGCCACCGTTCCAATACGGATTAATTCTGTAAGTAGAGGGTCCAGTGTAGTTTGAATGAGTTTAAGATCATAACTTAACTTACTCGGATGTGTCTCTCAAAACAATCTGAATAGATGTAGCTAAGATTACACTACTGTTCAAAGGGACAATCAGCCCAATTCTAGAAATTTTTATTCACCTATGGTTTTCAATAAAAGTTCTAAGCAAGAAAGCATAGCATTCAAACATTCAACACTTCTAGTGAAAAGCAGGCAAACTGAACTCCCCTGACACCATCTTCCCTCTAGCCTTCTATGAACATTCAAGTCAAAACCAAATATCATAGCAGCAGAAGAATAGTTTTCTTTCAATACATCCAAATTCTAAACAAATTGTTAATTGTAAGATTTTGTTTATAATATTTTAAATGACTTTTCTCTGTAATAAAATACAGTGGACCCCTGACTTACAGACGGCTTGACTTACAGACTTTTTGAGTTACAGACTTCTCTGGCCGCAAAATTTAGGTTTGACTTGCAGACTGAGATTTGACTTACAGACAAAAAAAAAACCAAAATGGAACAAAAACGGCCTGTTACGGGATTAATCGGTTTTCAATACACTGTAGGTCAATGGAGACTTGACTTACAGACTTTTTGACTTGAGAACCGCCTTCCAATACGGATTAAGTTCTCAAGTCAAGACCCCACTGTAGTCTGTGGAGTGACAAAGTTTAGAACACTAATAAGCTTCTTGCATACTGTGTAACTTTTCTATTCCTGACTACAGCAATTCACACAATGTATTTCATATTCAATATGACAGAGCACCATTCCATTTTATACAATAAAATCAATACAGTGGTGCCTCGCACAGCGAGGTTAATCCGTTCCGGATTAACCCTCGCTGTGTGAAACATCGCTGTACGGAAAGAAAAAAGCCATTGGAATGCATTAAATTTAGTTTAATGCGTTCCAATCAGCTGGTTTACTCACCGTACAGCGATGTTCCTCTATGGCCGGCAGCCATTTTTGCGCCCTCCCCTCGCTTAATGAGGGCGCGAAAACGCTGCATGCGGTCATTTTGGGGCTTCCGGTGGCCATTTTGTAGCCGCGGAACAGCTGATCGGCGGGTCGCAAAGCGAAGGTCGGTAAGCGAACCACTTACCGACCTTCGCTCTGTGATTTTCGCCCATTGGGGCTGCATTAGCGATCAAAAAAACGTCCCTGTAGAGCGAATTCATCGCTCTACGGGGCGCTCGTTGTGCGAGGCACCACTGTATATTAAATTTAGTTTTTTCACTTTTCAATGTAACATTTGCATTCTACTTTCTATGTTTACTTTTTCTACACATCTTTCTTCTGCTAATTATTTGCAATAAATTGGAAGTTCATTTAATCTGTTATCTCTTGATTTTAAGATGTATATATTACAGTGGTGCCTCGACTTACGAACTTAACTGGTTCCGGAACTCTGTTTGTAACTCGAAATGGTTGTAAGTCAAAACACCATTTCCCATAGGAATGCAATTAATCTGTTCTGGACGAAGAAAAAAATCACCAAAAACAAACAAACAAACACCGCAGGACCCATCGGAAACATGATTAATCCATTCCGGCTGAAGGGGGGGAAGGAAACAAACCATGCAAGACCCTTTGGAAATGCAAAAAAAGCAAAGCAAAAAGCAAACAAGAGAGTGCAAGACCCTTTGGAAATGCAAAAAAGCAAAGCAAAAAGCAGACACTGCAAGACCCTTTGGAAATGCAAACAAAAAACCCAAAGAAACAAAGAAACCCTGCAAGACCCATCACAGCATAGAAACATAATCCCACGACTCAGCCCAAAACCACGCTGCAAAACCCACCCAGAACAGTTTTTTAAAAGCAGAAAGCAGAGGTTTTGCTGATTTTTTTCCTCTTTAACTCTCTGGTTTAATTTAATGGCTCTCAATTTACACAGTACATGCATGAAAATTTCATGTACACATCTCTCATTTTTCTCCACATTACAGTGGTGCCTCGCTTAACGGACGCCCCGTTTAACGACGAATCCGCATAGCGATTAAGTTTTTGCGATCACAAAAGCAATCACATTGCGATGTTTTAGATGGGAAAATGTCGCTTTGCGATGATCAGTAAGCTGTTTTGCTTACCGATTTTCGCATAGCGATGATTTTCCAACAGCTGATTGGCAGTTCCAAATGGCCGCCGGGTTAAAAAAATGGCCACCCGCTGTGTTTTCGCGCTGATTCCTCACTTGCTGGGCATCAAAAATGGCTGCCGTATGGAGGATTTTCGCTTAAAGGTGAGTTTTTTGCCCATAGGAACGCATTAAACCGGTTTTAATGCATTCCTATGGGCTTTTTATTTTTGCATAGCAACGAATCCATATAACGATGATTTTTGCTGCATGGATTATCGTCGCTATGCGGGGCACCACTGTATTCTGTATTGTTTGGGAAAGTTAATGTCTACTTATGACCTGGTAAAGTATTTTGGAAGATAGATGTATGTGCTTATCTATGTTAGAAGTTCTCCAACAACTCTATTTCTATGACCCTATCTCCAGAATTTTCAGATATACAAGTGAAATTAAACAATTTTCTGTCCTTTCAAAGCAAGAGGTTGTCCCACATTTCTCAATACTGTAGAAATGTTCATTGATGATACTATTCTGTATTGCAGCAGTTAAGTGCTAGAGCCTATCTTTAGAGTCCTAGACAATCTGGAACCTGGATGCCTGAGGAAAGTGTCTTTCTCATATCAGATTGCTCATACAATAAGATCATTCCTAAAAGAAGTCCTCCGCTGCCTGTAGTGCTTTTGCCACTTAAGACTTTCTTGCTATCTATACTCATGGCTGGAATCATTGAGCCTCGTGGCGCAGTGGTTAAACCGCTGTACTGCAACTAAAACTGTGCTCACGACCTGGGGTTCAAATCCCAGGTAGCCGGCTCAAGGTTCACTCAGACTTCTATCCTTCCGAGGTTGGTAAAATGAGTACCCAGCTCGCTGGGGTGGGCAATGTGTAGCCTGCATAATTAAATTGTAAACCGCCCAGAGAGTGCTTGAAGCGCTATGGGGCGGTATATAAGCAGCATGCTTTGCTTTTGCTTTGCTTTATCTATTTTCGTTGGTATAAATCTAATGGCAGCAAATTTCAGCAGCAAAATTGTCACCAGTTAAGAACCTGATGCTTGTTTTTGTTGTTGAGAATGAAGTTATGCAATAGGTATGTGACATGAAAAACAAGCATTGACTGGTTAACTGGTGGCCATTAGCCGCCAAACGTTTCACCACTGGAGTTACACCAGAAAGCATAGAAACAGGATTCAGACCATTATGTTTTAAATACAGAGATATTTTAATTTTCTCAAGGCTTTTAACTGCTGATGTATTCTTCCCAAATGCAATAGGTTTCAGTGTTATGTTTTATTGCATTTTTTGTCACCTTACAAATTCTGAATTGAAGGGTGGTATTAAAATACTTTAAGCAAACACAAAAAATAAAACACTCGCCAATGTATTAATACTTATCTTTAATAACTTAAAAGCACTTTTACTTAGTCTTGATCACAATTGTGTTTATTACCTCTCTCTGCTGTCATAGTGCAGGCCATGTCTGCAGCCCAAAGCCCTCCTTCCAACTACACCACCAAATTAAGATGCAAACCAGGAATTCCTCTTTTAAATAAGTACAAAGTGTTTGTTTTGCACTTTGAGAATCCTTTCAAAATGAAGCTTCCTGCCCCTTTTAATGCAAATTTCCCAGTTTGCTGCTGATATACATTCTGAGCCTTAGAAGTGAATTCCAGGGGGTACTGGACCCAAGACACTCTGAAGGTGCCCACTGGACCATGTATCATATAATTCAATAAACCTCCTTCTGAGAAAATTCAACAATACCTCAGACAAATATCATTAATTGCTGAACTCTCTTTAACATACTATTAAAATAATTTAAGCAATCTTACCATTAATGTATGCTGTAGTCCTTTGAGAAAAAGCTTCTGGTTTGTGGTGATCACTCATTTTAGCATTTATTTCAGCCAAGCTATACTGCCTGCATAAATCTGTTCCATCAACAAATGCTCTGTCCTCAGAATTTCTTCCCAACTCAAAAAAGAATGAAGTCAAGCATTTCCTGTTGGAAGAGTCCCTTCTTTCAGTTTTTAATGCTGGCTTGTGGTTAATATAGTCTGTTGATAAATTCTTACTATCTCTCTCTTTCTCCAGTAGAATACCAGAAGGATTTGATGGAGTTTCATCATGTTGCTCACTGTCTTGCTTTCCGTTTTCTTGCATGGAAAATTCAGTAGCTGAGTCATCCCTGACTGAAGAGTTAAAACATGTTTCTGTGAAGAAATCTGCCCTGGTATCAATAGATTTCTGTGTATTTGCAAGCACTGCTATGTTTCCAGTGTCAGTGGTTTTAGATGTCTTTAATTCTTCCAAAGAACTTTCTGGATCTCCATGACAGAACCTGTGGCCTTTTCTGTGAAGCACTGCTGAAGAGCATTCATTGCTTACTAGGTCTGACAACATGGTGCAATCAGACTGTTTGGAATACATGGCACTTTTTGTATCATCTTTTACTTCTACGCTTATAAATGCAGGTGAAGTTTCGTCCAGAACATTAAGTGGAGGCTCCTCTGAGGCAGCAACAGTATAGACATTGTCACATTTGTCCAGTGTTCTGCCAGATACATTTGTATTATCTTCTGGATTTTCTGTACACAGAGTAACCAACTGCTGATCATTTCTACTGCTTTCAACACTAACCTCTAGGACATTACAATATCTTCCCTCTTTAACCAAACCTATAGTACTTCTGCTTTCCTCTGCACTTTGAACAACTAACTCAAACTTCCCAGTTGTGGATTCTTGAACAACCTTGCATTCCTCTATTCCATCTGTGAAAACTGTGCTACCCTCATTTCTTTCTCTAGTTTCCAGTGATACCACTACATCATGTGTGGCTCTTTCACTTTCTTCTGTTGTAGAGATAGCAAAAGTCTCAAGTTTTTGTTTTGTTCTACAGAGCTGATGCATCTTTTCAGGAAACACAGAAGTTTCAAAATATTCTATTGAGCTTGTTGATATTATAGCTGCATCAGCAGGTTGTTCTGCTCTTAAAGGAAAAAGCTGAACAGTGTCTTCAGTATCTTTTTGGGAAATGGGAACCTCTGTTTCTTCAACTATGCTTGTGGAAATTACAGTGCACTCATCTCTCTCCTCTTTGCCATGAACTATATCGTTTCTATCAGTTACTTCACTGGAAATACTGGGCAAAGTACTTAGTTCTACAGCTCTTATTGTAGCACACAGATTCTCACCATTGTCTCCTGTTATGCTTGGCATAGGTGCTTCAAATTCTTTCAAAATTCCTGCAGAGTTCGTTTTAAGTTTAGTAGACGTTCCTTCTTGATTCCCAACAGCTGTGCTAGACATAGGAATGCTGAAATCTTCTGTACCTAGCAGTTTTGTGGTTTTCTCACTGATCTCACTTAAGTTTTCAATGGGTTTTGTAACAGGTAATGATACTTGTTCAATGTGCTCAGCAGAACAATGTGCAACAGTTGGGCACAATTTGATCATACTTGTAGGAATAGTCATGACTTTTTCTTTATCACCTTTGTTAACAGATGCTGGAACCATAGCTGCCTTCTTAGAGACAAAAATACCTACACATTCCCTGCTATCTAAGGAAGATGTGGCTCTCTCATTCTTTTGTTCCTGAGCTGAAAATACATACAGGCTTTTATTATGTGAGTTTCCATTAAGCACATCATACTCACATTTCTTAATAAGTGAAGAGTCCTCCTCTTTTTCTTTCACAAAGGCCATAATATTTTCATTGCCCATATGGATGCTAGTTGTGCTACTTTCAACTATCTCCTTTGAGCTGTTGCTGATATTTCCAATCCTCATTTTCTTCTCTAAGCCCATCATGCTGTCAACACTCCTTTTACCTGCATTTGAGGTAAGCTCATCTAACCCTGTTCCAAGCAGGCCTGTAACAATACAAATGGAGGAATGTCTACTTTCTGTGGCTTCCACACCAACCATCATTCTTTCACTCTCTTCTGTTTCTTCACATGTCAAAATGAGTTCTGATTCTTCATTACACCTCCCTGTACTAGTAACAAAATCTTCACCTTCTTCATCATCTTCTTTTGCACCTGTGCTTGTCACACAGCGTTCATCATCATAGGAGCCTTGACTGATTTTGGTAGCATTTTTTTCTGCTTTAGCTTCAGTGCTATCTGTAGCATGCTCATATTTTTCTTCTGTGTTTAAAGCTGCCACAAAACCTTCATCATTGTCCTCCAAGCCAATGCAAACAGCTGCAGCTTCAGTCTCATCTTCTGCCATTATGCCTGTGCTTGTAACTGCACTTTCACCACTTATGATATCTTCATTTTTGTAAGCATGTGGTCCAATTTCTTCACTGTTGTCCATTTCAGCATATACTCTATTCACCACATTTGCTTCTTGTGAGTCTGTACCAGTCACTGAATATATAGCAGAGCCAACACTTGGTTTTTCTGCACCTGTGCAAGTCACAACACCTTTAGCCTCTTTAATCTGCTCTGCTCCTACTGCATTTTGAAATTCATCTGTATTTTCAATGATGGTGGAGCCACCTTGTGCTTCAGTACCTGCACTGGTTACAGCACCATCACTCTCTATTTCACCAATGCTGGTAGCAGCATTGTCAAAGTTGCTTACTCCCCTAGAAGCAGAAGCCATACACTTTTCTTCAGAGCCTGCACTGGTTACAGCATCATCTTTCTCTTCTGTTATTAAGCTATTCATACTCTGATCATTTTCAATTCCACTTTCATTGATTAACTGTTTAGCACTTTCTTCTACATAATTTACAATACACTCAGAACCTCCATTTCCCTTTGTACTGGCTGAGGAACTTTCACATACTGCAAGCCCTTCAGTAACAGCACCACTTGCTTCAGCTGCTGTAACAGTGCATTTACCAAAGTGCTTTTCTGTTACAAAATTGACACCCTCCTTATTTTTGGTCCAAGTACCCACAATGAAACCTTCATCTGCTTCTATACCTGTACAGCTCAAAACAGTCTTACTTTTTTCTTCTGAGCAAGTGATGACAGCATCATCTTCTCTTTGCTGTTTTGACATAGATTCTTCACGTAGTCCAGTACTAGTGGCTGTCACAGTTCTTCCAGTAATTTCTTCTGTGCTAGTTCCTATAACAAGATCTGTCTCCATGGAGTTGCAGATATTAATGCAACTGCTACCTCCTATGCTACTGACTACAACACTGTTTTCACTTTGTGATCTTACATAATTATATCTTCCTTCTGCTTCACTTCCCATTGCAGAAAACTTACTCATATCTTCTGGAGCATTTGGATAAATCAATTTAGAAGACCATTCTTTTGGAGCACTAATATTATTAATTTCCTTTCCTTTGTTTTTACATTTTATGGCACTTCTGCCATTATTTAAAGAAGAATCTTCACCTGCATTATCTTTTTTTTCTTCCTCCATCTTGATTAAGGCAAATTTGTCTACATTTATACCTGCAAATTCTATAGCTTGCCCAATAAAACTGTCATTCTGTAAAATGCCATTTTCATTTTTTTCTTCCACAATAGCTTCTTGAGTCCCTTTTAAAATACTTTTTCTCTCTTCAGCTGCTTGTTTACTACACAGATGCACCTTTTCAACTGTGTTTATAAATTCCATACTGGTGATATCATCCTCTTTTATGGTACTGCTCAGAACAAAGCTATCATGTTGTTCCTTTTTAACAGTATGTGTCTGATTGTCCAGAATGGGATCTTTAAGGCATGACCTATGTGAAGGTACTTCTTTGGATATATCACTCAAAGGACTTGTGATTTCTGTAAGGTCCATACATTTCTGAGGGACAGCATCTTCTCTAGAATTCTTTATTGAATAATTGCTTTCTTCACTTGGACTCATCATGTTTTTAACATTCTTTGGAGTCTGAAAATCTTCAGTCATGCTTTGGAATTCCAGCTTTACATTCTGTTTATGACAGCCATCAAGCAAAGTTCTGTCAGTTTTCACACACTCAGTGATTATCTGATACTGCTCCTCTTCAATGCATCCTACATCCTTAGAAGCTACTTTAAAAGCATCAGTTGCTATATCAATGTCCTTTGTAGGAAACTGTTCTATTTTTTCTTTGGGTTTAATGTAACTTAAAAGAGAAGATTCTTGCAGTTCTTTAGCACACAAAATTTGATTCAACTTGTACACTGAATTATAGCGCATTTGGTCTTCAGCAGTATTTGTAAATTTAGCTTCTTGTTGGGAGATATTATTATTTTCTTCAACTTGAGTTACTTGATTATATGCATTACCATGCCTTTTTTCTATTGGTTCTTGATTCTGTTCTGGATGTAAAGAATGCTCACTATTCCAGCCTGTGTTCTGAAGGGTTGGGAAAAGGCTAGCTATAGCTGTATCTGGTGATAGCTTTTCTTTTCTGGTATCTATTTCTTGGACTGACAAACTTCCTTCTCTGTTTTCACTAGTTAAGCTTTTATAAGGCTTTTTATCAGCCAGCAGATTATCTTCTTGTATCTTTGTATTACTCTCTATTCGCTTAACACTTCTATCCTCTGGTTTATTGTCCTCCTCTCTTTTTTTCATGTCCTTACTACTATGTTTTGGGCCTCTGTTTTTGTGACCTTCCACTGACAATTTCCTTTCCGATCTGAAACTGTTCAGCTCTTTATCACTCCTAGGTTTCTCCTTCATAGACTTCTCTCCTGAATGTGACTTAACTCTATGAGTACAATCTTTTTGTGAATTATTGAATGAATTCACTCTATGTTCTGGTTCAAATTCTACACAAATTTCTTCAACAACTGTAATTTTATTTTTTAATTTATACTGCTTATCTGCATCAGTCTCTTCTGTATTCTTGTCTTTGTCCAATTTCTGCCCAGATTCCTGCTTAGAGGAACTTTCTTGTAATTCACTTTCAAGTACTTTGGCTTGTTTGCTATGAATCTTGGACCTTGCCTTTAACAGTGATCGTTCTTCCAAAGTACTTTTTGATCTTCGCCTGTCCTTCGGTATTCCATCACCCTGTCTTAATGTATCATCCATGTTAGCTGTTCCAGCATCGTGTCTATCCTCTATATAACTTTCACACTTTCTTGAACTTAGAGAGCTATGTTGTTTGGATACACTTTGAGACTCTTTCTGTGGCCTAGAATCATTTGACAACCTTTTGGACTTATGCTCTGTTCTTAATTTATCTGTGGAAATCTGTCTGTCTTTTTTGTTCTCATGTGAATTCTCTTCATTTTTGGAACCATGGTCAGAAATAATTTTTGTATCTTTGTTATTTACTGATATTTTCCTTTCACTTCTGTGCTTATTTTTCTTTTCAGCTTTATCATGACCATGTTTCAGAAAACTCTCTTCACTTTTCAAGCCTTTGTCAGACAACAAACTTTCTACTTCATCACTTGTTTTATTAACATCTCCTTTATATTTATGTTTTGTGAATAATTTGTCTTCAGAAAGACTTCTCTCTTTTTCATTTCTATCTTTTGATGACCTAGCCTCTTTCTTGGTTACACTTCGAATACTCTGAGTTTCTAGCTCATCCTTTTTAATATGCTTTTCATTTTTAAATACATTTTTCTGTTTAGGAGGTTCTTCTGAACTATCATCAGCTCTGCCAAACTGAGATTTACTATCCCAAGCATCAGTGTCTTGCTGTATTCCCTGCACTTGAAGAGAAGTATATGTTTTTCTTTTGTATTCTTTTTCTACTTTTGAATCAATTTTGTTTTCATCAGGTGGATGCACTGGTCCTTGAATTCTTCTTCCTTCATTTTTACCTTGGATAGCTTTCAGCTCTTCCAAAGAGGATTTTTCACCAGTCTGCAAACAAATATAAACAATTCTCAGGTAATATCTTTGTGAAAATCTCACTACTGCTATGGGATGGATCTAAATTCAGCAGAGTTCTGCTAGAATTAGGGGAAGGGAGTGATTCCCTTTTATTGTCACCTACAGAAGCCAGAGCCCATGCTGTTCCAAAATGTTGAAAGATCTTCCAGAACAGCATTGGAAATGCTCTAGGAGCTATATACAAATGTGTGAAGTAGACAAAATTGTTAGGTAGGATGTCTCTGCTGGATTCTAGTTTCTCTGCAAAATGTTTTCCATTCACAGATATAAGTCTGAATTTAACCCACTTTAAAAGCCCCTAATCACTGTTTAATTTGAAATTCTTCAATTTAACTGGAAGAATCATTAACTACACAGCCATTTTAGGAAATAATGTAATATTTCCTTTTCCACTCAGAAGAAAATTGTCAAACATGAAAAAAATGTTGAATACTAATACAAATATGAAAACACAATGGTCAAGATCAATGGTCATGATTGTTTTAAGACCTCTTGTGCAAACAATTATACAGTGGTGCCTCGCTTAACGAGCGCACTGTATAACGACGAATCCACATAGCAATCCCGTTTTCGGGATCGCTAATGTGGAGGCATAGCCTCAGCCCCAATGGGCAAAACTCGCATAGCGAAGATCGGTAAGCGTTTCGCTTACCAATCTTCGCTTTGCGACGCCCGCAAATCAGCTGTTCGGTGGTTTCAAAATGGCCGCAGGACGCAGCGAAAATGGCTGCCGGACCCTGGAAACTTCACTAAACGGTGAGTTTTGTGCCCGTTTGGAACACACTGGGCTTCCCCGTTCCATTTAGCAAAGTTTTCACATAGCGAAGGTAAATCCGGAACGGATTAACCTCGCTATGCGGGGAACCACTGTACCTTTTCAACATTTATTTGTCATGATGACCTGCATTCACTGGTTATTAAAATGACTGTGCATATGGATACTTGATTGATGGGAGGCCAAGGGGGAAAAATACCTGTATGACTACCCTTATGTGCAAAACCTTTCCCAACATGATTCTTTCTGATCACAGTTGGTTAATGAATTGGGTTAACAAACTGGCTCACAGCAATCAACAGAAATTCACATCAGCATTCAAAGCAGCTGGAATAAGAGCTAATAGATCATTTCTCCTTTTTTAAAAACGTATTTTATTAATTTTATTTATATAGACAAAAAGAAAGAAGTCTAACATACAGATATCTAAATACACAGTGTTCCCCATCACTGGGACCATTTGGGTGTAGCAACCATTTACCCTTGTGGAGCCCCATTTCCCTTCCAGAATCATACTGATTCTTGCAATGGGCTTTGCCTCTTCCCCTGTATTAATACAAAACCAATGAATTCTCCTCATAGATCAATAAATTCATCCTTGCCTGTTGCCCTTCTCTTAACTTTCATATAACATGCAAGCTTATAATTAATAGCTATATTCCAAACTTCCATATCCCAATCACATAACTGGAAGGTCTAAGCTGTTTTCCAATCTCTGGCAATAATTTCACTACGGTTAATGAATTAGAAATTAATTCTTTAGCTGTCCAGTTACCTTCCTCTTTTTAAAATATTGGTAAAAGCACCATTTTGGGATCTCCAGCAATTTTAGCTTACTTTTTTCATTTATTTCTTTTAAAAAGTCAGCATTTTAATACTGTATGTTCTCATATTCCCCTCAGGATATAGTTAGCCATTCTCTATACTCAGTGTATTCTCAGAGGCTTTCATGGCTGAGATCCAATCATTGTTGTAGGTTTTTCGGGCTGTTTGGCCATGTTCTGGAGCAATGGTCCCCAACCTTTACCGAACCGCATACCAGTTGGGGGGCGGAGTCTGTGCATGGGGAGGTGGGGTACCCCCATGCTCGTGGGTGGGCCAGGTGCACTATTGTGCATGCATGAGGGGAATATTTTATGAAAAGAATATTTACAGAGTTAATTGTAATTCTTGTGTTTCATATTCAACCAGTTTTTTAAGAGTAAAATATAATATCTGGTATATGTTTTACTTCATTGGCAATATAATATAGTTTTAAATTGGGAAGTCTCAACATTCCAACTATTTGGGATTTATACCACCTCCAATTACCAATTCTTGACTTTTTATCTCTATTACAAAATGTTTTAATCGTATTTTTGTAAAGATATACCTTTTATTCTTTGGTATATAAAATTATTCTAGAATAGATTTTATATCTGTGACAAGTTGAACTGTTATCTAGAGTAATTAAACCAGATATAGCTATTATTACAGTATCTGATCAAGAAATGGTGAATATGGAGCTTAAAGCTAGATGTCATTATAAAGAAGTTAAGAGATGGAGGATACATTTAAATATTTTTAATTGATAAAATGGAGAAAGAATTGATGGAAAAGAATTGATAGAAAAATCAATGATAAAGGAGACTAGAAAGACAGTTTGATATTAGATACTATGAAAGCTATCATAATGGGTGTAACCATTAAATAATTATATAATTAAAGAAAACAAAAGGAAGAACATACTAAAACGTTAAAAAAAGCAAATAAGGGAACAGGAAAAGAAATATTTAAAGGACAGAAATATAAAAGTCTGTATGAAATACAAGCAAGAATAAAATAGTTGCAAAGCATTGTGGAAAAAATCAAAGCAATGTAATATACTTTAAAAGAAACTATTTGAATTTTCAATCTAAAACTGAGGTCATTTGGCTGGATTTCAAACCTTTACCTCTGCCTGACTGGTTCAGTTTGGGCCTGTAACATCAAAGAAGATGCCCACGGTGCTAGCTCACTCAAAACCAAATGCCTCCCTGCTTGACCTTTGCCCTACTTAGCTAACAAAATCTACCAATACAGCCACATTAAAGAAGCTCATTAACACCATCAATGTTTCACTGAAGGAGGGTTGCCTTCCTATTTGTGAAGGAAACCATTATATGAAGCAACCAAATTTAGTGACAGACAACCTGAACAGATTCAGGCCAATTGCCTATTATGTGCTTCATCGACAATGTGAATGAGCAAGTGGTAGAGGAGCAACTCCAGATGTGCCTGGAGGAAGAAAACTGCCTTGATCCATTCCAGTCCTGAATAAGGCCATGACACAGCACTGAGACAACACTGGTCATGACCCACTAAGGGAAACTGACAGGAGAGGACATACTCTGTTGGTTCCTCCAGATCTCTTGGCAGCTTTTAATATAATCAACTATGGCTGGAGCGGTGTTTGACTTTGGTGTTGGAATGGACCAGGGCTAACAGGCTCAAGGTGAACTTAGATAAGACGGAGATCATCCCACTGACAGGCTTGGGGCATCTCCGAAGGCTGGATGGTGTAGTGTTAAGAGTTTTAAAAATTGATTTTATGAGGTGCAGAGGTGTTGACCTAAAAAATGAAAAATGTGTTTTAGAAGGTGTCTCACAGAGGTGCAGTAAAAGTGATAGTATTGTTCAAAAACTCATTGAGTTTCATGCCTGCTTTCACAAAGTGTTTGTTATATGAAAAAACAACAGGAAAAAATGGAAGTCCATTTTACTTTGCTACTTGAGTTGTGTTTACCTATAATGTAAATTAACAAAGAAATATCACAAAATAGTGTGAAGACCTGTGTCAAATAAGAACAACAATATGTTATAAAATAGAAGTGTTTACAAAATAATGTAAAAGGTGAAAAAGATGGATGTTATTTTAAGTAATTTGTTACTAATGAACAAATAGAGAAGAAAAACAAAGGTGCCATTTGGTTTATAAGGCTTCTGCCTCAAAATTAACAGTAACTGAGTTTTGAAAAGAGTACAAAAGTGTGTATATTCTGGAATATTTGTGAATGAAATATGCATATGTATTGTCAGTATTTTATCCCAGTTTAAGGGAGGGGGAATTTTACTCTCACCTTGAAAACCAGGTGCTGGACTCTTAAGGAGCTTGACAGGCGAAGCCTTAGAGAAACTGGAAGGCGAGAATCCTGGGATGAGAGGTGTCCTGACCTTAAATATGTAGGCTTATCATTGGTTAAAAGGTATAAACTCTGATGATATAAATATAGAGCCCTTATGTAGAAATATAAAATGGAGAGGTATTCTGTCTGAAGCAAATGGAAGAGACATATGGACTGAGGGCGGCCAGGAGATAACATGGACACAACATAACTATTAACTGGCTGAAGGCTTGGTGAGAAAATACTTTTCTGTGTGTTAACAACATGCTTTGAAGTATTCCAGAGATGTATTCTCTGCCTTTAAAGGTTATGAGTAGACATGGGGATATTCATATACGAATACCCCCACACTGGTGAAGATAACGAGGTAACTGTCCATTCACCCTTCCGCTGCTATTGTGGGCTCTGCGCACCCTTCCTATCGCTCTGGAAGTTCATCTTAGGTCAAAAGAAGAAAAAAGAAAAAATCTCCCCTAGTGGTAGAGTACAGATTAGCCAGCTTCCATTAGTTCCTATGGAACAAAAACGGTTGGTTACGGATTACGGGGTTTTCAATGCATTCCTATGGGAAATGGACCCTCGACCTACGTACTTTTCGACCTGCAGCCACTGTTCCAATACGGATTAATTCCGTAAGTCAAGGATCCACTGTATGACCGAAGTTCTTGTTTGGACTTTGTATAGCTACATGCTTGCCATTAAATTATATTTTCTGACTTCTTTGTTCAAAGCATAAGTTCAGATTTTGTGGTTTTTAATTATTTTAAGCCTACAATCTTTACATAATTGTATGATTTACGGATTTAAGTACAGTGGTACCTCGTGTGACGATGTTAATTCGTTCCAGCGAAATCGATGTACAGTGAAAACATCAAATGAAATAAAAAACCCGTTGAAACGCATTGAAAACCGTTCAATGCGTTCCAAAGGGCTGAATATCTGCTCGTCCAGCAAAGATCCTCCATAGGGCGGCCATTTTCCAGGGCCTGTAGTGTGAAGAATCAGTCCTAAAAACAGCGGGGGGGGGATTTTTTTCAGTCAGCGGCCATTTGGAAACCCGACAATTAGCTGTTTGCTGATCGTCGTAAAACGAACACCGGTTCCCAAAGCAGGGAACTGATCGTTGCACAGCAAAAAAAACCCATTAAAACCATCGTTTTGCGATTGCAAAAACGTCAACTTGGATTGTTGTGATGTTGAAAGGTCTGCCTTGGATTCGTATTGACATCATTCTATCATTTTTGAGATTATTTATTTATTTATTTATTTTATATGCCGCCCACACTACCCAGAGGTACCCACATTACAGCTTTTCCCACTCTTTTGTTGACTATGAGGGCTACTCCATTCCTTCTACGGGCTTCTTGCCCACAATAGTAGATATGGTAATCATCTGAATTGAATTCGCCCATTCCTGTCCATTTTATTTTGCTGACGCCCAGGATGTCAATGTTTATTCTTGCCATCTCCTGTTTGACCACATGCACCTTACCAAGGTTCATGGATCTTACATTCCAGGTTCCTACGCAGTATTTTTCTTTGCAGCATCGGACTTTCCTTTCACTTCCAGGCACGTCCACAGCTCAGAGTCCTTTCGGCTTTGGCTGAACCACTTCATTAGCTCTGAAGCTACTTGTCCTTGTCCTTCTCTCTTCCTCAGTAGCATGTTGGACGCCTTCCAACCTGAGGGTGTCATCTTCCAGCATCATATCTTTTAGCCTTTTGTTTCTGATCATGGGGTTTTCTTGGCAAAGATACTGGAGTGGCTTGCCAGTTCCTGCTCCAGGTGGATTGCATTTAGTCGGAACTCTCCACTATGACCTGTCCGTCTTGGGTGCCCCTGCCCACAGTTTCTCTGAGTAATTCAGTTTCTCTGAATTACTCAAGCCCGTTCGCCACGACAAGGCAGCAATCCATGAAGGAGCATCCTAACTTTAGGTTCTAGCTAATAACAATAGCTAAACAGATAGGTATGGTATTTCTTTTAGGGTAAAACTCTCCTACTGAAGTCTTAATTTGTTTTTGCCTCCATGTACTCTCCAACCCTCTGGTCTGAGAAAGTAGACTTGTCCACAAAAGCTCATACTAAAATACAGCAGTCGTTAAAGTATCACAACATTTTTGTCTTCTTTTTTATTTTTATTTTGTTTTTGCCTGATATTCTAACCCTCTTTAAAATTTAACTCATCTCTATACTACTATCTAATTTTCCTCTCCTTTGTTAACTGGAATTAACAAAATTAACTGGAGTTACTTCCACTCTTACATTTTAAAACTCCCCTTATCTAATCTCTTTCCTCCTCCTTTCCTTTCTTATAATGACCTCTATGATTCAAAGAACTTCAATTCACTAGTTCACACTCCTTCCCACATCCTCTATTTCTTTTTAATACCATTCCTCCCTGGAATTCCCATCACTACTTGTTAACAAAAGCTTCTTCAGATTTATACCCCATCATATTTATCTAATAAGATATATAGAACAAATCTAAATACAGTGGGGTCTCGACTTAAGAACTTAATCCGTATTGGAAGGCAGTTCTCAGGTCGAAATGTTCTTAAGTCGAATCTGCATTTCCCATAGGAATGCATTGAAAACCATTTAATCCGTATCTGCTCTTTTCGTCCATAGAAACTAATGGGAAGCTGCTATTCCGCCTTCTGCCACTAGAGGGGGATATATTTTTTCTTTTTTTCTTATAACCTAAGATGACTTAGCTTTTAAAAAAAGGAAAAAAAGAGTTCGTAACTAGAATCTAAGTTCGTAAGTCGAGTCCATATATTCCTATGAGAGCGGTTCGTAAGTCGAAACGTTCATATGTCGAGCCGTTCGTAAGTCGAGACCCCACTGCATTATATTACATCTTCATTTAATCTTCTTCACAACAATGTCCAAATTAATTCTTCCTAAAACCACAAACCCCTTTTTATAGCATGTGTTATATCAGACACACAGAGAAACTTATCTCAATTACAGCAGGACTACAGGATCAGTATTTGCTGCTTCAGTTATCCACTGCCAGAAAAATATTAAATAAAAAAACTTCAAATAAGCATTTCTAAGGTACCAGAACTGGCCAGTAGAGGGATTATCTATCTATCTGTCTGGATTGCAATAGCTGTGGGGAGGTGAGGAATCAATTCCCTGCAGATGCTGTGGTCCCACTGCAGTTCTAAAAAATTTTTTTATATCCTCTTGACCTCCTGGGCACTTTTAAAGTTGTCCAGTTGTTTCTCCCTCTGAGATGATAGAACAACCAGAAAGCTCTCTCTTACCTGAGTTTCTCCCCCCCCCCCCATAGTAGTGGACAGATCCAAGAACTGTCCATCCAGTTTAACTCTCTCTTGTTCCAATTGCTGTTCATCTAGCAAATCCACTCATGGAGAGAATTTAAACTTGTTCTAATGAGGCTATCTTATGAAATTTTCAGCATACAAAATGTTTAAAAAACAGAGTATCCCAAAAATATTTTATATCATTCTTCACAAGTATTCTTGTAACCAATTTCATATTGTATCTCCAATCATGGGAAACAGGAGAGGTGCCAGAGGATTGGAGGAGGGCCAGTGTTGTCCCTATTTCCAAAAAGGGCAAAAAAGAAGAATCCAGGAACTACAGGCCAGTCAACATGACATCAATCCCACACAAAATTCTGTAGTGTATCTTGAATTCAACAAAGCTTTTGACAAAGTGCCCCATGATATCCTCGCTCACCCCAGCTGGTCCGCGGCCCCAAAAACATTGGGGACGGCTGCCCTATAAGACAGAAACAAAATTCAAAATGTCTTTGATAGGATGGAGCACTGGACCAAAAACAACAGAATGAAATTCAACAGGGAGAAGTGCAAAATACTGTACCTCAGAAAAAGAAACCAATTGCACAGTTACAAGATGGGGATACCTGGCTCAGGAAAACTATAAGCGAGAAGGATCCTGGAATTGTCATAGATCACAAGCTAAATATGATCCAACAGTGTGATGTGACTACAAAAAAAGGCTAATGCTATTTGAGGTTGCATTAACAGGAGTAAAGTTTCCAAATCCTGCGAGGTGCTAGTCCCCCTCTATTCAGCACTGATTAGGCCTCACCTTGTGGATTGTGTCCAATTCTGGACACCACACTTCAAAAAGGATGCTAAAAAATTAGAACATGTTCAGAAGAGGGTGACAACGATGATCAGGGGGCTGGAAACCAAGCCTTATGAGGAAAGGCTGAAAGAACTGGGCATGTTTAGCCTGGGGAAAAGAAGACTGAGAGGTGGTACGATAGCACTTTTCATATAAGGTTGTCATACAGAGGAGGGGCAAGATCTGTTCTCCATCATCTCAGAGTGCACAACACGCAGTGATGGGCTAAAGGAAGCCAGATTTTGGTTGAATATCAGGAAAAACCTCGTAACTCTTAGAGCAGGATGACAGTGGAACCAGTTACCTTGGGAGTTGGTGAGTGCTCCAACACCGGAGGCATTCAAGAAAAACTTAAACACCTGGCAGATATGCTTTGATTGTATTCCTGCATTGAGCAGGGGGTTGGACTTGACGGCCTTGTAGGCCTCTTCCAACTTCACTTTTCTATGATTCTGATTCAGTAACAAAGATCAGAATACATCTACACCAGTGCACCACTGTACAACTGCCCAAGCTTTTCTCTGGCTGCTTTCAGAAACATTTCTTTCTTGTAAAAGTTTTTTTTTTTTTTTTTTTTACAAAACAAACCATGATCTTCCTTGGGGGTCATCTGTCTCTCCATCCCTAATATTTTGGTCTCACTCTATGCAATCTCTCTAAATCTTTCACAAAACCCAATCTTCGGACCATTCTAATACTGCATATCTAAGTTTTATTCTGTCTTTAACGCCACCTTCTGGAAATGAAAGTAGTTTCACATTTTTCTCTGCCTTTTATTCTCCAAATAAATCAATTTTTATCAGTTTCAGAAAGCTTACTTTCAAATACAGTGGTGCCCCGCATAGCGACGATAATGCATTCCACAAAAATCGCCGCAAAGCGATTCCGTCGCTATGCGGAAATAAAAAGCCCATAGGAATGCATTAAAACTCGTTTAATGTGTTCCTATGGGCAAAAAACTCACCTTTAAGCGAAAATCCTCCATACGGCGGCCATTTTCACTGCCCGGTAAGAGAGGAAACCGCACGAAAACACAACGGGTGGCCGTTTTTTTACCCAGCGGCCATTTTGGAACCACCAATCAGCTGTTAAAAAAACATCGCTATACGATAATCGGTAAGCAAAACAACTTACCGATCATCGCAAAGCGATATTTTCCCATCTAAAACATCGCAATGTGATCGCTTTTGCGATTACAAAAACTTAATCACTATGCGGATTCGTCGTTAAACGGGGCGCCCGTTAAGCGAGGCACCACTGTAGGTATAACTGAGTTGCATTAACCTTGGGCATTTTATCAACCTCCTTAACTTCTGTAATTTAAGAGATAATTTCTCTTAAAGATTCTCTTCTGTCCTGGCTTCTGAACTCCAGTATCTTATTGAGATGAATCACAGGACACCAACAAGAGTGGTGCACTCTCTTGATCTAAAGACAGTATTTTTCTCAACATCTGTCCTCAGGAATAACTCCTCTTTGGTTTTTCTATTTTGAAAACATAAAAAACAGTCAGGTGCCTTCTAAGGATGACAGCATATAGCAGAACTGGAGCCACTGAAAGAGTAGACTCTGTCAGTCTCTTAAAGAACCCGATTTACTTCAGTCCTTTGTGAAGATATATCTCCAGTTCAGCTAATATAAGGTAAATGTTCCCCTTGACAAATTGTCCAGTTATGTCCAACTCTAGGGGGCGGTCCTCATCCCTGTTTCCAAGCCGTAGAGCCAGCGTTTGTCAGAAGACAGTTTCCGTGGTCACATGGCCAGTGCGACTAGACACGGAATCCCGTTACCTTCCCACCATGGTGGTACCTATTTATCTACTCTCATTTTTACATGCTTTCGAACTGCTAGGTTGGCAGCTAATATAGCACACTAAATTATCTGTGGTCATGATTTTCTGAACCTGCCAGGACTTAAACCAATGTTGAACTGGCTTGCATTAACTTGACTAACTCACAACTGTCTTGTTTGTCCAATTTGATTAATCTTGAATCTCTAGCTCTGATCCGTTTCACATTATGCAGATATGTTTGACTTTCATGCTTCAGTAAACAAAAAGGCTTCTACGTAAACATGGGGAATTCCTAGGTTTTTCATAATGAGCCTCTCAATATTTTCTTTCACATATATATGTTGGCAAAAGATCAGTAATAAAACAGTGTCTGTAATCGAGAAAACAGGTATTAATTATGGAGTTAATTGTGAAGTTTAGAGTTACAAGTGTAAACAATATTGGTCAAAGTTCTTTTCATATTTTACAAGGCACAAATCAAACTAAAAGTTGTACAACACAACAGTTCTAAATGTTTTTACATCTGGGACTTACTTCACTTATTTTTTTAGATTCTCCAAGGTTTTCCTCCGGTTGTTCACATTTCTTCTTCCTGCTTTCTTCATCATGTCTGTAAGTTTTAAAAGATTCAGCAATCAAGAATACAAGTAGGACTACTACCTGATCAATATAACCAAGAACCAAAAGACTGTTGGCCAGTTAATGTACCGATTAAGAGTATAGTTCTAACTAGCCAAGATGGCTGTTTGAGGTGATGCTAACTCAGCCTAATCTGTGCTAAATCCAACTCCCCCTGCCTAGCCAGGGAAGTTCAAAAATATTTAGGACTACTCTAACACAGTGTCATTGAAGCAACCAATATGAATTTGACACAACTCTGGGAGGCAGTTGAAGATAGGAGGGCGTGGTGTGCTCTGGTCCACGGGGTCACGAAGAGTCACACATGACTGAACAACTAAACGACGACGACTCTAACACTGGCCTAATTTTGTGTTGGCATAGCAGCTATGAGAAATATGAATCTTGTGTAAGTCTGCTCGTCCTCCACACCACATACACCTCTTTTTTCTGCTGTTCTGCTGGCTGAGTTCAGTTAGCAAAGTAGTTGAGCTAGTAGATCCAGTTGTGCCAGCAAATCTGAGATGCACAGCTGCACAAGAGGCTCTAGCCCATTACCCACTACAGCTAGAATATATTTGGGTTTGGATTGCACAGCCTATTTGCAATTATTTTCTTTTCTTTTCTTTTACTTTTCCCCTACAGTGTGATAGTAATCCTAAAGCTATACAGATGGAAATTCTATATTATAAAGAAACACAAATTTTAATTGTGCACATGATAATATTCCTTTTTAAAGCAAAGCAAAGCAAAGCGTGCTGCTTATATACAGCCCCATAGCGCTTCAGACACTCTCTGGGCGGTTTACAAGTTAATTATGCAGGCTACACATTGCCCCCCCCAGCGAGCTGGGTACTCATTTTACCGACCTCGAAAGGATAGAAGGTTGAGTCAACCTTGAGCCGCTACCTGGGATTGAACCCCAGGTTGTGAGCACAATTTTAGCTGCATTACAGCTATTTAAGAGCTAGGTCTCACTCTTGGAATCAGAAACTAAAGCTATAAAGCGATACTATGAAGGGCAGACCCACCTACCAAACTCTAGCATGCGTAAGATGAAATGTTAAAGAATATACAAATGCAACAAATCCACTTGAAGTACAGTTGGGTCTCTACTTAAGAACTTAATCCGTATTGGAAGGTGGTTCTCAAGTTGAAAAGTTCTTATGTTGAATCTGCATTTCCCATAGGAATGCATTGAAAACCATTTAATCCGTATCTGCTCTTTTCCGTCCATAGAAACTACAGTGGAGCCTCTACTTAAGAACTTAGTCCATTTTGGAATGGTGTTCTTAAGTTGAAATGTTCTTAAGTTGAAGCAAAATTTCCCATAGGAATGGACTGAAAACCTATTAATCTGTTCTGGCTGTTTTTTTTATGTAGAGGTGCGTTTGTACATTGAAGCATTACTTCCCACAGGTACTAATGCAAAGCTGGTTAATACGTACTCTACCATTAGGGGGAGAATTTTTTTTAACCTAAGATGACCTAAGGTTAAAAAAAGAGCAGGAAAGGTTTTTTTCCTGTTCTTATCTTGGATTTCTGTTCTCAAGTAGAAGCAAAATTTAGCAAATGGAGCTGTTCTTAAGTTGGATTGTTCTTAAGTAGGGACGTTCTTAAGTAGAGACCCCACTGTACCATTTAAGCCACATGGTACATCAGAGACAACAGGTTTGGTCTCCCAAAGACAAAGAAAATAGAGTTAGCATGCAATGCCCTGCAAGGGCATGAGAAGAAATCTTTGTTTTCAAAGGAAGGCAAGTTGAAAAAGTACTATTTTCTATTCTCCATGGATAGATGAACATTCCTTTTCAGGTTATATAAAAATATTATAGTAGGACATCCCTGTTCCTGTGGGGGATCAGTTCCAAGCCCTCCCCGAGGATGCTGATAAACACCGATTACATAGCTAATATTATTTTAATAGTGAGCACTATATATAGCATGGTCTCTGGTGCCCTCTAGTGGCCAGTTCTGATAACTTCAACTTTTAAAAATATATATTTCTAGGATTTTTCTTTTAATATTTTAAATATTTTCAGTCTGTGATTAAGTGATTCAGCAAATACTGATCCCAAAAATAAGGAGATCCTATTGCACACCCTATGGAATAAAGAACTACTAAAGGACCCTATATCCAAATACTGCTACTAATGATGTACAATCATGAGTAACCTAATTTTTCATGCAAAAGTAGATAGTCACTGAAATCCTGTTGGTGTAAATTTATGCTAAACAAAGCTTTTGGCTTCATTATTGAATAATAAATATCTTCAATTTAATTAAACTAAAATCTTCCTATGCCCCACTTAATGTTGAAAGGCTCTCCAAGGATACTTTTTGCTCTTGGGAAGACTTTGGGAGCTTTAGAATAGGATGTGGTAAGATAAAGGTAACAGTACAGGTTCCCTTTGACAATTTGTCCAGTCATGTCCAACTCTAGGGGGCTGTGGTCATCTCAGTTTCCAACCCATAGAGCTAGCGTTTGTCAGAAGACACTCTTCTGTGGTCACATGGCCAGCACGACTAGACACGGAACACCGTTACCTTCCCACCGTGGTGGTACCTATTTATCTACTCGCATTTGCATGCTTTCAAACTGCTAGGATGGCAGGAGTTGGGACTAGTGACGGGAGCTCACTCCCTCATGTGGATTCGATCTTACGACTGTTGGTCTTCTGACCCTGCAGCACAGAGGCTTTTGTGGTTTAACCTGCAGCGCCACCAGGGATGTGGTAAAACTGTGGACCAAAACTTTAAAAGATGTATTTGAGGCAGTCCTTTTAACTCAACTAAAGAACTTTAGTCAATTTATCACCTTAAGATATATATTGCACTCCCAATTACATTGCACTGTGGAACTATTATAAAGATAGAGTGGTGCCTTGAGTTGCAAACTTAATTCATTCCAGGATGATGGTTGTAACTCAAGTTGGTTGTAACTCAAAGCACCATTTCACATAGGAATACACTGAAACACGATTAATCTGTTCTGGCCATTTTTATAGGTTAAAAAATGGCAGGAAAGGAGGAAGGGAGGGAGGGAACAATGGGGAAAAGAGGAAAGAAAGAAGGTCATCACTGGGGTACACAGAACCCTCAGACAAAGGTTTGTGCTTTTAGGAACCAAAAAAGAGAGGTTACCTACCTGTAACCATGGTTCTTCTAGTAATCCTCTGTAAATTCACACAAATGGGTTGTTCTGCGCCTGCACAGGATGTTTCAGATGTTTCCAGAGCTTAAAAACACGCAACAATGAGACTTTCCCCCATGGAGCGTAAGCTCCACGTTCCCAACATCCCCTCAGTTCCTTCCATAGTCTGCTGCTGTCAAGGTAGTATATTAAGAGACAACATGACAGACCGAGGGGAGGACGGGAGGGATGTGTGAATTCACAGAGGACCACTAGAAGAACCATGGTTAGAGGTAGGTAACCTCTCTTTCTTCTTTGTGGTCTCTGTGAATGCACACAAATGGGTGACAAGCTCATTTACCAGATGGTGGGACGTCACGGTAGAAGAGATGTGAGGATTGCACTGCCAAATGCAGCATCATTCTTTGCCCTGACATCAAGGTGATGTTTGACAAAGGTCGAAGGATTAGACCAAGTCTCTGCTTGGCAGTTATTTGGTAGTTCAATTCCACGGTGGAGAGCAGTGGAGGTTGATAATGCTCTGGTGGAATGAGCTTTCAGGTGGTGTCTTGCCTGAAAGTTCATAAGCCAGAGAGATAGTCTGAACTATCCAACAAGAGATGGTTTGAGTTGATGCTGGAGCGCCTTTGTGAGGATCTTGGAAGCAAAGAAAAAGTCTTGGAGACTTCCTGAATGTCCTGTTGATATAAAATGCTAGAGATCTTCGGATGTCCAGCATATGGAGCATGCGCTCAATGGACATAGAAGGAGAAGGGAATAGAGTTGGTAAAATCAATGGTTGATTCAGGTGAAAATCAGAGACAATTTGGGGTATGAATGACATCAAAATATAAGGTGACCTTGTCTGGATGGAATTGAAGGTAAGGTGGGTCTGATGGAAGAGCTACTAACTTGCTAGCATGTTCGGCAGATGTTATTGCCGCAAGCAAAGCTGTCTTCAGGGACAATAATTTTAAATTACAGGTGGCCACTGGCTTGAAAGGCGGTTTAGTAAGAGAATTTAGGACCAATTGTAATGACCATTGGGGCACAGGTTGTTGTATTGGAGGTCGAATATTTTGAAGTCCCTTGAGGAGTCTTTTTAAGGTTGGATGAGAGAAAAGTCTCGCTGATTGGCCACAATAGCCGATATACAAACCTTCAAGTTTGAGTGTGATAGTCCGAGATCAAAGATGTGGAGAATAAAGGTAAGTAGTGTTCTCGGAGAGACTGGAACAACAATTAAGTTTTGGGATTGAGTGAAAGAAATGAAAGACTTCCATTTATTTTGATAAAGTTTTGGGGCAGATGACTTTCAAGCTCGGTCTAGGACAGTTCAAAAGCTGTCAGATTCAAAGACTAGATGTTGGGGTGGAGGATCATCCTGTTGCTCTGAGTAAGGAAAACAGGAGGAGCAGAGTCAAAGGGACAGTTAGACAGAGGGAGGCACTTAGAGAGGAGAATTGAAGAGTCAAGAAGGGAGCATTGATGGTAGACGGAAAATATCCATCCACATCGATCTCAGGTGGGTGAACCACAGCTGACATGGCCACCACGAGGTGATGAGTATGGCATCGGTTCGGAATTGACAGATTCAAATGACTGATTTCTGAATAAATCTGGAGGGAACAGATAAAGCAAGTCTCTGGTGCAGTCCATCATGAACTAGTGATTTGGGCTTGATGCCGGCTCGAGAGCAATACTGTTGCATTTGGTGTTGTACTCTGATGCGAAGAGATCAATAGATGGGCACCCCATCAATGGCAGATGAGATCAAAGACTTGGTCGTCTAGTGCCCATTCATGTGTTTCTGTTGAAAGTCGACTCAGGTGATCTGCAAGGTAGTTGCCATTTGTTGA